GTGTGATTGGGAGTGTAGCCTTAATGAGTGTATAGTGGCAATTTTTAAAATGAAATTATCACAGATTGTATTATAATAACAGAGTACAGAAGAATAGTTTGTCTTTTCAATTGTGTTCTAAAGTAATTGAACCAAAAGACAATTATTTAAAGCTCTGGATACAACTGTGGTAACCAACAGTTATAGTGGTGATTTTAAAGAGAAATTATTACAGAATATACTGTAATCATAGAGCAGGAAGAATAATTCATCTAAAGTAAGTTAAACAGCCTGTTAAACTTTGACGAAAAAGAGACAATTATTTAATGCTCTGCATACAGCTGTAATGAACATTTGTGTTTATGTTTGACTTGTTTTAATATATTATTCTAAAACAAGTGGACTGTATGCTGTTTGTTTATTGTTGAAATGTATTGCCAACAAATGACACATACCTACTGTCAAGTCTCCAACCAATACATAAAACCTGACAATTATTATAAATACATATAAAACACTCAAAGCCAGCCCTTATCATTCAATTATTTAGCAAGCCTTCCTATTAATTAACTTCCTCTATGACATCTGAAGACAACCCATATCAAAAGCCAACCTCTCTGTTAGAAAATTAATGCTGTACTAGCTAAAAATGACTCCAACCTGCCAAAATCTATATTTGTGTCCCATACTCTTACCATTCTCATCATTAAATACAAAAAAAAGATGATACATCAACATTATCAATTCCCTTTATAATTTTAAACACCTCAATAAGATACCCTCTAACTCTTCTTTTTTTTTTTGTTGAGAAAACAACTTCATGATCTTAACTTATCCTCATATGACAATCTTTTGATCCCAGGTATCATCCTAGTAGCTATCCTCCAAGTCCTTTCCAATAATTCAATGGTATTCCTAAGGTATAGAGCCCAAAATTGAACACTATACTCCAAATGCAGACTAAACCTTTTTAAGACTTGTACTCAATATTACTGTAGGTACAACCTAAAATTCTATTTGCTCTCCTACACATTGCATGGATGATTTAAGAGACTGATCAACTGGAACACCAAGATCTTTTTTTTTTTCACAACAATGTAAAAGTGACTCCTATGAAAGTTTACACATAATTAAAACTGATATCCTATATGCAATACCTTGCATTTATCATAATTAAAAGCCATCTGCCATTTATTTGTTCAACCTATCAAATAATCCAAATCCTTTTTTAAAACATCACCATCCTTGTCAAAGCCAGCAACACCTAAAACTTTAATATCATCAGCAAATGTAAATAATTTGTTGACTATTCAACCAACTTCCTAAAAGTTTAGGGTCTTAATCCTGTGAAAAATTTTCAATGCTATAAAAGTCATACCATCAGTGCAAAAGGCTTTTAATCCCATGGAAATTTCTCAACTGCTATTTTAGCAGAATATATATATTATATTTATTTTATAACAATATAACAACATTTATATGTAGAAAATATGTCTTGTGAAAGTTTTTAAGGCAATTTAGAACATGCATTGAAACAGTGCTTTTACAACTTTCATTATTTCCAAGCATTAGGTTTTAGGATGTGTTAAAAGATTTGAAACACTAATATTAATCTATTTAGGATTCCTTAGAATTTACAGGCATTCCAGTTCATTTTTAGAAAAATAGGCTACAACATTAAAATATAGGTATTCTTACGGTTAATTTCTTGGCTAAACAACCAATTTTCTAACTTGAACCACTCATAAAATCACAACATTATTAGGACCATAGGTTTCTTGTATTTTTCCAGACAATATTTAACAATATATCAGACTTTTGTCATAGGTTTTATTTACCATTACAATAAAAGACTTTGTCTTGTAGTCCAAAGTCCAGTTTTTAAACATTTTTATGAAAGCATAGTGTGTGTGTGATTCAGGCTGGTTGGAAAAATATAGGTTTTATACGTAAATTTTACAAAAAACAAACAAACACAACCACTTTCAAATATAACCTTTAATAGGTTTTAAGTTAATTGGGAAGCCCAAATTTAATTGTCCAATACGGAAATTGACAAAAAAAATAAAAGTGATAGAACATGCATAATTTTGTAGAATTAGTTTCTTAATGCTTTATTTTTTGTTTTTGAAGAATTCATACAAACACCGTGACAACAAAATAATTGAAAGCTTACTTACGGAAAAAACTTGAATGCCACAATGGTACATCCCGTTTTTCCAAAGGCATCTCTGATCTCCTCTTCTGTTATATTGGGCCTTTAACCAAAGAAGTTCATCAGAATTTGAAAGTAATATAATGAAGAACATGAAGTAGATTGTTATTAAACGAATGATGAAAATTATGATGATCTTTAAAAACTGACGTATTTTGATAAAATACTAAATGTTTACATTTTATTTATTTATTACTGTTATTATTTTATATCTCTCATTATTATTATTATTTCATAACAGCCTATTACCAAGTATGATGTAAGGTATGAAAAGTTCTTAACAGAAGAGTATTCATAAACATTCTTATAATTGTCTTTGTTTCAACACCAATAACCATCACTGATTCATTTGTACTTAATTCAAGGAAAATTTGTAATAAATTTAAACAAACACTAAGTTACATAATTTAGGTTCATTTAAAAATTAGCAATAAACAGTGTTTTTCGTTTTGGTCAAAACTAGTGAAACTCAGTAAAAGAGAGAGAAAAAAAAAGTTGCTACAAACAGTTTAACATTTGGAAAAAAATCTCAACCATACAAAATGGGAGTTAAATGAAAATATGTGGAACTCCGTAAGTCGCAAGGTTAGAAGATAAAAGAACCTACGGGATGTTGGACAGGTGAAGAGTGGCAGTTGGAGGGTAGATATTCTGATAGTTTTTTGACCCTGGTTTCTTGAACCGGTGAAGGGGAGAATTGGTGAAGTCTTTGGTTAACCCAGCATCCTGAAAGACAGATGTAAATTTCTCTAAAACTTGCAGTTTTTAAAATAGAATTAACCTCAAGACACTATAAATACTTGTAGAAATTGTAACAAATTGTTCTATCACATCATAACCAAATGTAAGTAACAGAAAAATATTAAATCAACTAATAAAACATTACAGAATTTGATCTCAACCCTATTCGATCCACAAATACATAGCACAAAACTTAAAAGTCTATGATGAAAAATGTAGAGATTTCAGTTTTGAGTTAAGCAGGTATAATGATGCATTTATTATCTACCAACATGAATTTTTTACATATTTGATTAACCTATATGACTCCTAATAATGTTTTAGATTCTTAATGCTGGATAAAAATTATTAAATAAATATCTCTATGAACTTTTTTTTATCTTTTATTTTAAAAGCATTCAGCCCCAGTAATAGTCTTCAACAGAAGAATATATTCTGTTATAATAAAACTGAAAAGCTCCAGTATTTGGCCCAAAAACTTGCAAAATAAAGAATCCAAAAAAGTTATAAATCTTGATATTCTTTATATAAAAACTTAAAACCAGCTAGCAAAAAAGACCTTGTGACAAAAATATCTTGAGAAGGTTTAACGAGGTCTACTTTGTTTCTTAATTCTATGTCCATCAATTGAAAATCTGAAATTATCTTATGAATAGTTCTGTTCCTTTGTCACTATTCGTCAAAATATTAAAAAAAATAACTCAATGTGACTTACTGGTGATGTATAATTTTTATAAAATTAAAAATATTACTACTATCCATTGCTAAGACATATTGTTTAAGAATTTTTTTATATCAACTCCTTAAGAGTTTTAGATATTTTCAAGGCTTAATGTACTGATAGTGGACGAATATCTCACCGTCTGCCCCTCTTTTGGCATCTGAACAACCTGATGTTTTGAGGGAGTTACTCTGATCTGTTTACCAAACAGAAGAATCTTATCCAGATGAGTCATGGCTAGAAAAAGAAAAATTGTTTTACTGTTTCATAACCTCTCTTGAAGTGTCAAACAAGAAACAATACTTTTTATATCACTATGACAAATTTTCTTTTTCAAAAACTTAAACTAATTTCAGAAAATACAAACAACAGATTCATTTTATTCACTTACATAGGATGATTACTATTAAACGACATCCGTTATTACACAAATACTTTGTGGCAATTACTTTTCCTTTATCGAGTCACAAATTACATAGTTTTTTTCTTTTATCGAGTCACAAATTACATAGGTTTTTTTTCTTTTTATCGAGTCACAAATTACATAGGTTTTTTTTTCTTAAATCGAGTCCCAAATTATATAGGTTTTTCCTTTATCGAGTCACAAATTACATAGGTTTTTCCTTTATCGAGTCACAAATTACATAGGTTTTTCCTTTATCAAGTCACAAATTACATAGGCTTTTCCTTTATCAAGTTGCAAATTATATAGGTTTCCCTTTATCAAGTCACAAATTATATACATGGTTATTCTTCCGAATAGATTTTTTACTGCTATAATGTGTTTATCGGTATTTCTCTATATACAAGTTTCACAAATATATAGGTTTTTACATGTCTATGAAGTTGCAACAACACAAACCTTCAAAATATACAAATTAAATTCCTTACCTAAATGTGCTTGATGAGGCTCTGCCATTTGTATTAAAGCATTGTCTTTTTTGCCAAATAAAATTTTGACCCGTATGACATCACCATACACTCCTGTAGAGAATAAGAAATCAATTTTGAAACCAGTCTGGTTATCAATTCTAAAGTTATTATGTAACTAAAAATTACACATATTAGAAGTATATAAGAATCTTACATCTAATTATACATTATAACCACTTCCTGGAGGTTCCTCAATTGTTCTATAAACACTAGTGTTAAAAAACAAAAAAGGTAGTAATTTATCTGTCTTGATTATCCCTGAAAATTACAAAAAAACAACAACAATAAACGAGATGATAGATGAGAAATATTTTAAAGAAGTAGCAAAGGTAAGCTTTTTGTTGAATTTAATATACTTGTTAAGATCAGAGAGTATATCTAATCTGTTTAGTTCAACCCTTTCAGTACAATCTACGGTTAAAAAGTTTTACACTTGAAAACTTGTTATTCTTCTTAGAGATAGCTATGCTTTCAAAACTTATCACAAATGAAACAATTACAACAGAGGCACCTAACTTTACAAATCTGGTTATTTTGACTCATTGATGTAATATACAAGTTAGAGATCAGGCTATACATAATAGGACACAGACAAATTATAGTATGGGAGCTGGATTATAAAGACTATAGATACATGTATTTAATTAACATAACATTAACTATAGTTAATTGTTACAAAAACAAGTTAACTACAGATGTCCCCCCATTACTCTTAATTTGTCTATTTCAGCTCAAAACTGGAGGTGTGTGAAATTAAATAACATTTACAATTAACTTGTTTTTACATTAATTTTTTAGGCCTATTAGTTTTTCCAATGTAACAAACATTTATTTTTATTTCAAAAAATTACTTAATCTTAAAATCATGAGCCAATCATTACTACGTTTTTTTTTTTGATAACTTTGAACAAGAGTTTAACAATAGACCAATTTCTCACATAAAACTTTGTATACGTTCAGGGTTTGATCCTCCGCTTTAAAATCTGAAATAAAACTCTCTTAAAATGTTATTTTGGTGTTGATGGAAAGTCATCTCAAATCAAGACTACTATTCTCAGGGCTATATTTATCTTGATTTCCATTGTAAGATTAGTATTCAACATGTTTATGACATCTACGACAAGGCATAAACTTAGCAGAACAATGGTAACTGTTCTTCAAATATTTCTGATAACTTCAGTTGGTTGAAGTCTGATCAATCTAAGATCTGATCTAAGAAAATAAAAGTGATTACAGTGAGAACAGTTTATATTGCTCTATAGTTTTCTTGTCCTTTTTTAATTGGATTGTAACATGTTTGAACACCATCTCTTTCTAATCACTAACTTCAAAAGGAATCCGTCGTGGCTCTACTTAATGCAGATATCAAACCTTCCAATCTCACACTTGGTATTCTCCAGTGTATATTAACTAGTTTAGAACTGAAAACAAGTGTTCTATAGGTAAATTAACTTGCAAAACACTTTGATACAAATTGGAGGGGGGGGGGAAGGACTGATTTTCAAATGAACATTTCCTTGCAAGAGATGAACCAATGAGCATAAAATTCTATCATTCATAAATTCTAATACTAAATTATAGTTGAAATGTAATTTTAGTACCTTTTCTTATTTGTCAGATATTGTGATGACCAAAATAGCTACTATAGTTGATACCTATATAAAACGTTGTGTATGTGTTGGAGCGTGTGTGTGTGCGGAAGGCTTCACTTCCCCAGATCCATATCCAGCTACTCCCATGCAGGAATGTGATGTCAAAATTGGAATTTTTTCCTTTCAAGACCAGAAATCTGATAATCCGACACCCTTAGGTCTAAATTGCAGTAGTTTTCAGGTTTTTTATTTTTTCTTATTTTTGTGATTTACCTATTTTTTGATACTAGATGATTTCTTAATATCGTAAATGCTGTTTTTTTTTCCAGGTCTGTTAGAGAAGAATGCTTTTATAATTAAATTAATTTTGCTACTAATAAATACACAGGAAACAAGTACCATTGATTTACTTTTTATTAAGTTCCACAACTGTATAATCTGAGAGAAAGTTAAAGAAGATTGTTTTAGAGAAAAATAGAAAAACAAAAGAATGCTGAGTTAGAAAAAAAAAAAAACATACCAAAGAGGATAAAGAGAGCATCGGGCGTGACCACCTATGGTCAGAGCAACAGGTGGGTGTAGCAGAGTGGAAGTACGAAGAGATCAATTTTCCAAGTGAAGAAATAAATAAGTCCACATGGGAAAACATCAGCAGGCCAAGTGTGAAAGAAAAAAGAAAACAAATCAAAGATACAAATGATTCATTATATGATCAGAAAGTTTAGTACTTATGGTAAGGTTGTGGCAATCAGATATCATCGTCAATACAATCACTTAAATCTAATTACTGATTAATTACAAACTTTTTTGAATTAACATATATTAATTACTAACTACTCTTTATCATACACGTTGCTTGCTGTCTTCAGGGAAGTTCCGAGAGGGGCTATTTCTGTTATGTTAATAACTAGGTTCAAACCTGGGTTTTCTTGTTAGAGAGGTTGGTGTGATGTCCATTCACCTGGAGTCTCCTTCATTAAGAATTGAATAAACTAACCTACCTTAAAGTTTTCAAGAAGGATATTCAGGGTTCCTTTTACATTTTTTTTTCTCCTCGCGTGTGGTTCATATCCCATTATTTCGGAATGATTCCATTTATTGTATCATATTCTCTGACACGTGTGTTATGCTCCTGAATTTTAACTTTTTTCGGTGTTTCTTCTTCTCAAAATTATTGAAGTCCACATTCACGGGGGACATTGTAAATGATATTGGGTCTTCAGGTGATTTGGTATGTATAAACTGTGATTGTATTAAGATGTGGTTTCTGAATACTCTTCTGATTTTATGATGTTAACATCTTACGTAACATTTCAGAGAGATCTCTGACACAGAGGAATACATCTGTAATTTTGTTTTTGTATATTTGTAATGTTTATCTTTATAAAAGTGATCCAAAGAAGGTTGTGGTAATGTGTTCTTCTTTCTTCTTCACAGTATTTTCTTTATTACAAACTTGCATTCTGGGGTGCTTTTGTTTAGAGTCAAGATATTTACCTATACCTGAAGATTTCCTGTGAAAACTATGCAAGTTTTAAGTCTTGTCATATTTTTTGTACTTCCATCATGAATTGAATTGTGGGATGTTGTTTGTTCAGGTAGTTCATGAATTCTTGTCTCTAGTGTGCAGCAACATTATGAACATACTGTCAACATATCCAAGCCAAATCTTGGGGCATACAGTAGCTGTTCTGAAGGAATTAACTTTGAAATGTTCCATACAGAAGTCACTGACTACTGGTAATATTGGTGAGCCAATGGTTAGGCCTTGTTGTTGTTAGTAGTACATATCTTGATGTTAGAGATAGGTTGCAAGTTCTATTATTGTGAAGATTGTCAATTGGATGTGGTCCTTGAGAGTTCTACTATTTTAAAGCTGAGCAGCGTATTTGTACTTTTTCAAGGTTGGATACATTGAAGGTGGTCACTATTTTGTGAGGTTATCATGGGTGTTTTTATAATCTCTCTAGAGTTTACAGAAAACCAACAGGTACAGGTAAATGCACGTCTTCAGAAGCTAACTGAAAAAAAAAAAAAAAGATTCCACGACTTTCCTGGACCAAAGTGTCATTTTTAAGAACCTAATTCACTAATTATAATAGAATGTGAGCTCATCAAAGTCTAATGTTTGATTATGTTTAACAAAAAATGCAGTAAGAGCTGTACAAAACATCCTAGCACTAATAACAGATACACTGAAATCCACGTTAAAAAAACAGTTCACTTTTCCTCTTTCTGGAACATTTTATATCATGCATGTTAAGTATTCTGTGGGCATTCTAGGAGCCAATTAGCACAAGTGTTGATATCCAGTCATGTTGAATTGAATGTTTTCACTTGACTTACATACTTTGATTAATACCTGAGCTATCAAAAAACAATTCTTCAATCAAAACAAAAAGAGAAATGGACAGTATGGAACAAGCTGGGTTAGAATAAAATACAATGAATTTCTGAAGAACATTCATCATCACTTATAGTACCCTAAGTACACTTCTACTTTTCCCAAACTCCAGGTGTTCCAGTAGTGAAATATTCGTTTACTGTGTGGACAGGTGTCATGGGCTACCTAGTTTCAATAAACACTACACTACAGCCCTCTACTGAAATAGATACCTGTAACAGTTAATAAGAAAGAAAACAGAGAACAAAATAGACCGGAATAAAACTACAGATGCAGCCATATACCTCCATGTCAAAGGTCTTTCTAAAGACATACAGAGGATATATTAACAACATAAAGTCAGACCAGTATTCAGAAGCTACAACACAATATGATCACTGTTAGTACACACCAAACCAATATCTAAAACCTCAGTGGAGAGCAAGAACTCCATTACCAACATCCCTAATGAATGTCGACTCCCATGCACTGATGAAATAGACACCAATGAGAGTTAAGAATTCCATAGCATATTAGACATAAAGACTACAATACTGATCTATCTGGAAGAATCCATCATGCCAGAAAAGATGACAATGTAATAAACTGGAATATTTAAATAAAGAGGTATGAAACACACAAGAAAAAAACTTTTTTACATCCAATTAACCAATAACATGTTCAGCCAACCTAACATATGTTGGCAAAACGTGCATAATAGTCCTCTTGAAAGCATTCTTAATGGGATGAGATAATTGGAAGAACACCAACCAATCTGTCAGAAAGACCCACAGTCACCACAGAAATAGTGCTTATCATATAGTCCCCATTTCCAATAAGTAATTCTGCTGATAAAATTAAAGTAGCTCATACAAACCCAACATGTCATCATACTGGTAACATGAAACTACCCCATATAAACCCAACAAGTGATCACACTGGTAACATGAAACTAGCTCATATAAACCCAACAAGTGATCACACTGGTAACATGAAACTAGCTCATATAAACCCAACAAGTGATCATACTGGTAACATGAAACTAGCTCATATAATCCCAACAAGTGATCACACTGGAAACACGAAACTAGCTCATATAATCCCAACAAGTGATCACACTGGAAACACGAAACTAGCTCATATAATCCCAACAAGTGATCACACTGGAAACACGAAACTAGTTCATATACATCCAACAAGTGATCACACTGGAAACACGAAACTAGTTCATATACATCCAACAAGTGATCATACTGGTAACACGAAACTAGTTCATATACATCCAACAAGTGATCATACTGGTAACATGAAACTAGTTCATATACATACAACAAGTGATCATACTGGTAACATGAAACTAGGTCATATAGACCGAACAAGTTATCACACTGGTAATGTGAAACTAGCTCATATAAACCCAACAAGTGATCACACTGGTAACGTGAAACTAGTTCATATACACCCAAAAAGTGATCACACTGGTAATATGAAACTAGGTCATATAAACCCAACAAGTGATAACACTGGTAACATCAAACTATCTCAAAGAAACCCAATAAGTGATCACACTGGTAACATCAAATTATCTCAAAGAAAGCCAACAAGTGATCACACTGGCAACATGAAACTAGTTCATATATACCTAACAAGTGATCATATTGTTAGCATGAAATTAATTTATAAAGAAATACAAGTAGTAAATCACCATGTCAACCATTTAATCTTTATGCCTGTCATTAAGTCATAATGTTAACTATTTAATCTATACATATATCATAAATCACCATGTTAAATATTTACCACATAGAAACAATTTATTACATACACAAACTATTAAAAACAAGCTACATGCTTGGAGTAAAAATCTCATTATTAAACTAATTAATAAAACAAGTATTATAAACGAAAACTGGCTTTTCCACTACGTACCTGTTCATTGAGGTTGCTTACAAGAAGAACACAACCTAAGAGGAGCTGACCTGGTAGACGAAGTCCAGACAGACCTAGCGTTGTGGCTGAAGTAGCAGTAGGTGGCAATGCAAATCCACCCAAACTAAGAGCTACAGAATTTATAAACAAGTATTTTGCAGACATGATATATAAAATTCAGACAATCAAACATACTTTAAAAGTGAATTCTAGTAGCAAAAGGTTTGAAAACGTGAGATATGAAAGTATAGTTACAATAGTTTCTAGTTTGTCTTTTATTAAGCTTTCTCTATTACTGGAACCATTGTTTCACAAATTAATAGTTTATTATAAATGGAAAGGTTTGGGCAATAAAGTGTAAATTCAACACTTTAATTAAAAGCCTTGCAGTCAATCATTAAACTATTTTAAAACATTGAACAAGAATCAATCATAACACCTTAAGTTTTACATTTAAGCAAGTTTAATGATTTCTTGAAATAAAGATAATCTCACCTCCTGCAGCTGTAGCAGCATAAGCAGCTGCCAGTGGAGAAGCAAGACCTGGGGCTGGACCAAATGGTGAGGCCAGAATCCCCATAGACCCTAAGTTCAACAATATATATATAATAATAATAAAAATATATATATTTTATAACAAAAATAAAGTTTGTCCTGTTTTTGGAAAAGCTCAGATTGACACTTTACAAGTTGTATAGTTATTTTTGACTCTGAAGCACAACTAGGACTAAAGTCTATAACTTGATCAGGAATGAATTTGACTTCTGTGCAAATTTTTCCATTGACCTTAGGGGTGATCTTGACAAAAAAAAGTACAGAGTACACAATACATCTGATTATCACGTTTTGAAAGAAATAACGAAGAAAAAATAGTTTAACCTCTGTGTTATCTTCTTTAGGTTTATTTTTGCATTCATGCAAATCTATACATTATGAAGTAAAATTTGATGAATATTACTGCAAAATATTTCAACTACATATAGTTTCATAAGTTTAACACACATATTCAAGCACAGATGTAGATTCGTATAAACTATGTTAACCTTTTACTTTCAAGTAAGGAGAATTTAAATAAAATTCCCTAAAAACTGTTAGGAGAGACAACATACAAAATGAACATAAGCATTATGAGTTACCTATCCTTAACTAATATTACAATGTAGAGGGTGTAATTAATTACAAGATCTGGCTAGAAACAAACTAGAGAAATGCCTGTGTTCTCTATGTGGGGGTGGGGTTTATTTTTTTTTTTAAATCAAACCAACTTAAGATATTTGTTTTCTCTTTTTATATTTTTTTTCACATTTTTAGTGAAGGTCATGTTTTCTTCAACCCAATATTTTTTCTTTCACAACTTCTCAATATTTCTTTTTTGAAACTCTTTTAAAGAAAATGAAAAAACTCAATAAGAATAACAACAAAATTTCACAAAACAAGTTTTCTTTAAGCTATTCAACTATTACGAGAAATACACTGGTACCGACTTGTCCAACATCCTTCACACCTGAATAATTGCAACAATAAATACCTGGTAGTCCCAGTAAGTCTAATGTTGGATCACCAGTCATAAGGTTTGGATTTGTAAAATCCCTGCTCTTGTCATTGTTGTATTTGACATTTAAGTTGGTCAGCTTGGAGTGCTCAATTCTGAGTGTACAACAGGAATTGTAGATATTCTGTCCATTAAGACTCTGTAAACAAGTAATAATAATAAAAAATAAGAACTATAAAAGGTATATAGTTTTATTTAATTAACATCTGATCCATTAATTTCAGCCTGTTTATCCATTCTGACCTTTTAAACTACTAGCTCCTATTTTATGACACCTTACAATACTTTCTAATAACAAAAAGAATAAACAAAAGACTTAAAACTTCTTAAATATTTGTGAAAAATTAAAATTGGTGTGAGACATGAAGCAACGTCTCTGCCCGAAAGGCCGAAGACAATGAGTATCAAATGCCACGATTCCAAATTCTGATTGATTCTAAAAGTTGGATTGTGTTTTATAATGTTTTTGTTTAAAATCTCTGCTAATTTTAGCTCAGTCTAGAGCATCTGACTGTTGGAACAGTGACTTGGATGTGAATCACAATCCATCTGAATTTTCACTTATTAAGAAACATTTACAAAAGTTCAATAAACCCACACAAAACAAATCAATGTTTTTATGTAAAACTAAACTTTTCATCCATCATGCTAAAACATGTGAATACAAAACCCATATCAACAATCAAAAAACAATCCATTATAACCTAAAATATGAAATTTATACTGAGATTTAAAATAAAGTTCAAACATTCCTGAAACACAGAGAATAAATTATTGTATGTAAGGTTTTTTTTAACAAAGACTTAATAGTAATGGCATTAATAATTTAAACTCCAAGTTTGTGTCACTAAATGACTTTGCCCTGTATAAACACCCAAGCATAAAAATGGATAACCATTCTTTGAAATTATATTTTGAAATTAATTTTTGTCACATTCCATTTAAATAGTTGTCACAAATTTTCACACGGGAAGAGTGAAACATTTTAAAATGATTTTAGGATAAGCCCAACTTCTAAAAATGTTTATATACATTTTGCTTGAAGAGAAGAGTAACTTGATTAATAAACATAAGTTGCATGTTGATAAATAGGCTAATATGTTATTTAGTGTTGTGGTATGTAGTTATCACATATACTGTCCTTCTTTAATGCATCTTTTATATAGTAATAACATTTAAACATTTATTTGAGAGTTATAGTTCCAAACCTGGTAAATTCAAACAGAAGAATTAGGGGGATCTGATTGAGGAGTTTAAGATTGTAAAGGGAATTGATAGTGTTGATGTATCAACATATTTAAAAGTGAGAATAGTAGGATCAGGGGACACAAATAGAAATTTTTGGCAAGGTAGAAGTCATCTTCAGCTAAGACAGTTTTATTTTTCTAACAGGGTGGTTGGCCTTTGGATGTTGTAAAGGCAGTATATTTATGTGAGTTTAAGAAAAAGCTTGATAAGTATAGGAATGATAAGGGCTGGCTTTAAGATTTTTTTAAACATTATTTTAATTTAGTTTAGAGGATGGAACAGCTGAGATGAACCAACAGGTTCCATGTTGTCCCAAAACGTTATATGCTAGATGTTACTCTCTGTGACATGAGTCCAAGTTAGTAAATGACACAACATAAAAAGAACAAAGTTTTCTGAAAGCACCAGGATTACTTACAATTCTCTATAGCTAATTATCTACAAATTTGTTTTCAAAAATGCAGAAGTATCTTCTCCATGTGACAGTCCTAAGGTAGTCCCAAGCTTGGGTGTTGTTGAGTACAACCATCCCGTGAAACTGTGGATAGCACCCTTTGTTCTATTTATGTTGTGTCATTTACTAACCATCCTGGTGCTTTCAGAAAACTTTGTTCTATTTATGTTGTGTCATTTACTAACCATCGTGGTGCTTTCAGAAAACTTTGTTCTATTTATGTTGTGTCATTTACTAACCATTGTGGTACTTTCAGAAAACTTTGTTCTATTTATGTTGTGTCATTTACTAACCATCCTGGTGCTTTCAGAAAACTTTGTCCTATTTATGTTGTGTCATTTACTAACCATCCTGGTGCTTTCAGAAAACTTTGTTCTATTTATGTTGTGTCATTTACTAACCATCCTGGTGCTTTCAGAAAGCTTTATTCCATTTATGTTGTGTCATTTACTAACCATCCTCTTGTTTTATTTTTGTCTTGTTCCTTAGCATGAATAAAATGTGCTTGTTTTTGTACAATTTAGGTAGTCTCTTCTTTGTTGACTGCAAAAAGTCAATCACATTCCTTTCACTCAGCATCTTGTTACTGTGACAACAGAATAATTTTTCTACATTTTCAGTTAAGGAATATCACAAATTTTCACTTATAATAAACTCTCCAGAACAAATACTTTTCTTATCAATAACATGAAAGTTTGAGGAAATAACTCAACAGTTTCGAATTTGATGATGAGGAACCCACTTTGAGACTAATAATGGCTGGAGACGGCTTAAATGGGTAATGAAGAAAAACTTTAATATAAGTTTAACATGGCAGCAAATGTACAACGTTTCGACAAGGTTTTGTCATCATCAGGTACCAAAAACTTGTCGAAACGTTG